ATGGTGAAAATCTGGGACCTCTTCATTATGGAAAAGATTACAGGTAACAGAAAACAAGCAGTCCCCTTACCACAAAACTCTAATCTTCAACTGAAATGGGAACCATTCATAGAATATGTGACCGTATCTGACATCCAACCGCACAACCCAGTATATCTTAATACACACTTAAACAATACACACCCACTCTGCAGCACCAAAGACATCAAGTTTGTGTATCTGATCAATTAGAAAAGTAAGACAATAGACAGGAGCAGGGGTCATTTCATGCGGGAGCACACAGGAGCGGAGCTCCAGCAGTAAGGAGCCCAAGGGGTGGGCACATGCAACAAGCTCCACCCCCTGCTCCCAGCAGCCCTCAGTTGGGCCACAAGGAGCAAGAAGCAGCCAGGTAAGTTGCAGACACCCCCCCAGCCCCGCCTTCAGGTACAAGCTCTCCCTCCTTTGTGAGGGCTGATCTGCACGTTCCCCCCACACAATACCTAGCAATCCAAAACAGTCCAGTGGCGTCTGAGTGGTGGGTGTTGCCATCTGACACACTTCCGGTGATGTCAGGGGGTCTGGCATATGCAAATAAGTTATGCTAATGAGCTTCTGCACCTCTTTTTCTACGAAATGACCCCTGAGTGAAGGATTATATAATTATATATTACATCACAGTAAAGAATAGGGGGTATTTTTGTTCAAAAACCAGCTCCTTATGCTTTCATATTCAAAGCTTATTCTCATACTGCTTCTACATTCTAATAATTCTTTACTGTGAGATATACTCTTTACTGTGAGATATAGATTTTCCTTTAAATTTTGGTATATTAAAAACAATAAATAGTAAGCAGAAATGATGGAATATTAAACATAGAATATTAACAATGATGAAATTAATAATATAGCTGAAATATAGTTATGAAATCTGGGATTCAAAATGTTTGAAATGTCTTTAAAAATTATAATGAAGGGGAGCTGAGAAGAAATAGTTTCTGTTTTATATACTCCATAATGTATCCTTTTGTATTCCTGATATATTATATAACCCTTCTTTCTTTTTGCATCCCTTATATGTCATTGTTTTGTTTTCTAAAATTAAAAAAAAAAGTTTGCTGGGTGATCTGGGGCGAATCACACCCGCTCAGCCTCTCCTACTTCACAGGGTTGTTGTGAACATAAAATGGAGGAGGGAAGGATGTTGCAGTAAGCCACTTTGGGTCCCCACTGGGGAGAAATGTCAGTCCCGTAGCCAGGATTTTTTAAGTCTGGGGGCATTTACATTTCTTAGGGGGCACTGGCTAATAAAATTAAAGGAATACCTGGCTCCTTCCCCACATCTGCCACCACTTGGGGGCCCTGGGCTGGATGGGAAGTTGTGTGGCCTTGCCAGTAAGTGGGGGGGGGGGTCTAGCCCCGAGATGCCCCACTGTGGTCACGGGCCTGAGAAATGTGAGGTGTTAAAAGAAGTAAAGAAATAAGATGGGATACGATTTGAGTTGATTTGGTGCAAATACTTCTTGTAACTTGTTCCCTCTTGTGCAAGTTTAAGTGTTCCATGGGATCTAATCCATTGAAATGTTTATTTCGTTACTTCGATTTGACAGGCTTTTTTCAAGCTCATTAGGATACTGTATGTTGATTTTGTCCTGGATAAGCTTTTTTGGTCAAAAGGGATTCTGATTGTGTTAAGTGCTGTCATGTCATTTCCAGCTTAGCAACCCTATATGCGTTAGTTGCCTCCAAAATGATCTATCGTTAAAAGCCTTGCTCGGGTTTTGCAACCTGAGGGCCGTTCGGCTTCTGCGACTTAGTCAATCCATCTCAGGCTGGGTTTTGCTTTTCTTGCCGCTTTCAACTTTCCCTTGCATTCTTGCCTTTTCCAGCGACGCTTGTCATAATGTGACCAAAGTACCGTTGCCTCAGTTTAGTCATTTTAGCTTCTAGAGAGTCCAGGCTTGATTTGATCTAGAACCCACTTGTCTGTTTGACGGGCCACGGTATCCTTAAAACTCTCCTCTAACACCACATTTCAAAGGAATCAACTTTCTAGCATTCGTAAAATGACCAGCTTCTTAGAAAGAAAAAAATTAGGATGTCCAGAGCCCTTGCTGATTAACCATAACCCGATAAGCTGAGGGATTTCTGCCGGGCCACAAAGGAGTGGGTCAGCCAATAGACTAATGTGCCCTTAAATAACTTCTAACCTCCAAGTTTGTTCTTACAGAGCCAACATGGGATCAGGAAAGCCATCCGCTCCTTCCAGTGTGGACCTCTTAGAAAGACCCTTTCCTTCCCGCCTGTGCTCGGCAGACCTCACCTCGCTCCACCACTTGCTTCTGCTTCCAAACCATTTTTCAAGAACGACCAAGTATTCAAGTGTTCTGAAAGTCTCTCCCTCCCCCCCCTCCCCGCCAGAGCCTGAACTTCCTATAAATGTGTTTGGCAAGCCTTGGGATATCTTCAGTTATTTCCCCTCCCCTTTGGAAACAAAACCCAAGACTGAGACTGAAGCCTACGCAAGAAGATTACATTTAGTGCTGAGACTTAAGCAGAGGTGGCAGGGATGTGTGCTAACTCTTACGGCGCGCCAAATTCAAAACACGGGTTTAGGATCTAATGAAACTGCCAAAATGTCTGCTTCCTCCTCCTCTTCCTCAGGGATGAAATCTCCATCCCTGTCCTATAGCTGATGGTGGACTGGGACCATTCATTGAACAGAATCAAGGTTCTCTTAAGAACAAATTAAGAAGTCCTTTTACACATGTGTAACCTTGCAGGGGGCACAGGGATAATCGTTATGAAAGTACTGCACAGACGTCACACATTATGGTGGGAGTTCATTGTAAAAAAAATAGAGAACATGAATTCATCCTCCAGCAAGCATTCCGGTCATTGGGAGCAGGTGTTAAGAAGGGCATTGCCCCTGGGTGTAACTCTGTAGCTTCAGAAAGCCTTCTTCCAGACCTCTTCAGCTTTTTAATTGGGGTGGGGGGGACTGAACCAAGGATCTTCTGCCCACAGAACATATACGCCTTCGGGGGGAGGGATCAGCTGGGACAACTGTGCAGGGAATGCCACCAATAGCCAAGCTGCCCTGACCCTGCTGCCAGCCTCCTGAAGCAGGGAAGAGGCTTAGACTGCCATTAATGCCGGCTGCCTGATTGGTCTTCACCCCCCAATGATGCTGGAGTCCCATCCTCAAGTTTTCCCTGGGGCCCTAGAATCACCAAGAGCATTCCTACTCCACTTCTTAGTGCTCTTCTGCCAGTTTGGTGTAGTGGTTAGGAGCGCAGACTCTAATCTGAGAGAACTGGGTTTGATACAGCAGCTGGTGTGAACTTGAGTCAGTCACAAGTTCTTTCAGAGCTGTTCTCTCAAGTGCAGTTCTTGAAAGAGCTTGCTTAGCTGCACCGATCTCACAGGGTGTCTGTTGTGGGGAGGGAAAAGAGATTGTAAGCCGCTCTGAGACTCCTTTGGGTAGTGAAGGGGGGGTATAAATCCAATCTCTTCTTCCTCTTTCTTTTCCACTCCTCAGATCTTGGAAGTGGGGGGGGGGGGATATTAAAAACAAGCGCAAGCCAGTTTAATTGGTTTGCATGGAGGT